TAATCTTTATCGAATTCTTTCAACAGAACTTTTGCTAGTCGCTTAGCAGCTCCGTAATGCCGGATATGGTTAGTTTTGTCCCATGCAGCTCCATGCCCGCACCCTCTGCTTGTCGTGCTCCCCCCCATTCTGGCCACGCACATTGCTCAACCACCTCTCATCTTCCTGCTAACTCCAAGTACTCCCCTCCTTATATTGCGTCACTTGACCTCTACTCTACTCGCCCATTCACACCCTATTCACCTCCCCCTACACCTGAAAACCGCTTGCCAACAACGCTCGCCCTCTGTTATTTAATTATGGCAAACTTGTTTCCCACGACTGCTCAGCGTTTGTTGATTTATGAAATAGCCACTCAACCTCCTGTCCGCATGCCCTAACACCACCCAACTGCAGGGGACTTATCCTCTCTAAGCTCACAAATCGCTTGATCAATAGCCCAGGCGAGCCAACCTTTCATCATGAATCTTAGATAACCGCTTGCTACCCCTACCACCTTGCCCGGCCTAGCGAGCCCCTCTTTCAAAGATCATCCATCAATATCTCGATACCTAGAAAGATGTAATGCAGCATCGCAAGCGCTGATTTTGTTTCCGACTTCGTTATGAATCTTACCATAGCCGATCCTAGTTCTTGACCCTTCTCTCACGCTTGTTGACATTGATCAGTATGAAACTGTCCATTTACGCCACCCCACAAGCAATAGCCCAATACAAAAAATGCTACAACAAAGAGTATTCATCATATCAATATTTACTTGTTCACATTCTTTTCAGCCAGGATGCTCGGTTTTTAAAATGAATCAGACTCATCCTTCATCGGTTGCTTCTATCAATTCGGCGACCTATCGATCCGGACGTCAGTCGGAAAGAATCGAACAAGTAGTCAGCCCCCAGCTTGAATACGTCCTGCAACTTAAGATTATCACTCTTGCGATCAAAGGATATATGGGCCCGCAAGCGATGAATTTTGTTAATGCCGCCTCTGAGTACTCGCGGCAACATTCCTCTAGGCTGCCTACACTTTGTTCCTCTCTGTGCACGGTCAGCCCCGAATTGCTGTCACTTGCATTCATGGCAATAAAGGATTATGGGTTCTCAGTCAAAATATCTTTCTTTCAATATATGTATGAACCTATGCCTCTAGTTTGTTTTCTACATGTTGAATATGAATTCTTCCCGAAGCAATGATTTTCAGTTCGATGTCAAGTAAGGACTCATATCTCATGCTATTATTTCCGTAGGTATACCATGACCGATCCCGTACCCCCATATAATGTGTTTGGGGGGAAACTATGGGCGCGTTCAGCAGCTGTGTTATTTGAGACCCAACATGTTGCTAATTTTTGCATCAAAGTAATGTTCCTTTCCTGTTAAAAAGAACAAATCCCATCTTGCGCAAATTGAAGCCCACGACAATTGCGCCCCAGAAATCTCCAACAACAGGGAAAAGAAAAATTGCTTTCCCTCTTTGTTGCAGAGCGGATTTGATTGAATTCCAAACCCGCAGTAATAGTCAACATGCGACTACATTTGCTTATACGTTTGTTTTTTTTTGTCAACTTGTAAAAAGCCTGTTTGGTTTTTTAGATATAAGGGACATAATCAAAAAAGTGTAATTCTAACATTGGATGCCAAGTGGGGTCTTCATTTCTTTGAGATGTTTGTTAATTTCCTTTCTGTTCTCTCATATGTGATAGAGAACCACACAGAGGAAAATGCTTCCTTTTAACCACTTGCTTTTGTGTTAAAATTGTGGATCCTTTGAACTTGTTGTTGCAGAAACAAGGAGGATGACAGCGGATAATGGTTGAAAATCAACAAACAAAACATCTCTGATTGCTATTGATTTGCTTCTCGACTATTAGCGACTGGAATGATGTGAAATACAAAATTTAAGGGAGGAAATTTCTTACCATTTTTTGCCTATAGGACCAAATTATTAAATCTTTCACTCACTGTTTTCAGTTGTACTCTTGTGTGATGCTTAGCCCTCGCTTCATCTTGTTTTAATGTGAACCATCAACTCATGCCATATTCTTGCAGAAATATAGATTTTGCAGTTACTCCTGAGCTGATGTCACCAAATATTTGCATCCTTTATCTGCGACACCTTGCACTGCTGTCTTACTATCCCTATGGCTGGAGTTCACGCTTCGCACACACCTAGACTGGATTACTTCGTCTCTCGTTGGGCCACTCAATAGCTCTCCTCTCAGTGTGTATAATCACAACTTCATGTCCCTCAAACAACTTAGGTCTCCTATCAGCGTAACTTATTACATCTGTCGACTCAAAATATGAGCATTAAAATGATACTTTTCTTCATTTTTTATCTGGCGTGTGGATACAGGCGGGATGTTCAGACTTCGATCACCCATGTTCTTTCTTATTGTCATTGTACTTTACCCGTAATCATCATGTTAGACTTTGTGGAAGGCCCAGTATGACACCGAACCCACGTCCGTATACCTAAGCTATAGTGTTCGTACGACCATTCTTGTGTATCGATTAAGCCTTCATGCCCTTGATGGCCCTTACCCTCACCAGACTGGTCTGCAGCCATTAGCCCTCATTACGACCAAACTGGTATAGTACATCCTTACCCTTGGTTATAAAAGTTATGGCCTTTTCATTTTTACTGCATTTTGAGAAAAGGGAAACTAAATGGAACATGTAAAACATCGATGCTACTGACATTCTTTTGAGTTGTTCAGGTTATTTGCATAAATTTAATGCTATCCCCTCTCAGATTTATATCTGCTCTGTCTCTGCCCAATGTTTGGAATTAAGTGCACTATTGAAAGATCAAGCGCAGTTATAAATAACTAGGAATTGGAAGTATTACGTCAAATGATGGCAACTCGCCATATGCTCATGATACTTTCCTTAGGTTAAAAATTGCATGTGAAAGAGATTTTTTTTGTTTGTTTGTTTTTGGATTTATTCTCTTTTGCATGCTCCATTTATGTCCGTTAACTTTTGCCAAAAAAGTTATTGCCTCGAAAGCTTTTGATGTGTCTAATTTTTTGAAGATTGTGTTAGGTCTGTTGCATAAAATAAGCAGATGGTATTAGTGGAGTAGATTAAGTATTGTTATCTCTGCATTTTTGGTTATCTTCTTTTTGAGAGCCACTGAATACGTATGTTTTGATTAGCTTCTTAAACATATGCAAAGCAAGTTGCTTTGGTTTGATGCCTAGTTTCTTTGTCTGTATGTGCCAGGATTATGATACTGCAAATGCAATTGGGTCAAAGTCCTATAATACTCTCATGGAGGAGCTTGTTGCCCTTGTAGCAAGAAGTATGGAGGGTGAACAAAAAATGAATTCTGAAGAAGATTCTGTTGATTTTGCTGCTGCAACAACTGCTACTCTGGGAGTTCCTTCTCCATGCCTTTCAAGGGGTAAATCTTTTGACTCTCCACGTGCCATCTCTGATGATGGTAATGTAAGAAAAGGAGATATAGAGGAAGAAGCAGAGCTGAAGAGAATCTTGGAATTGTCAGAGGCTGAATCGCTTGCAGTGAAATTGAATGGACAAAATATGTTCCTCAGTTCAAATGAAAGTGCATATATGAAAAAGTCTGAACCTGTCCTTGTAGAAACATTAGAAGGGTATAGTCAGGCTCAAAGTCAAAAGTCTCATCAACACGAACCTTCCTTATCCCTTGATAGCAATGTCCTGAGCAATTCCAGTAATGAGTTGGTAATTCGTGAAGCAGTTCCAAGGGAAGCTGATTGTTCAAAAACTGATCAAGTCAATCACATTGATCATTCAACTTCTGAAGAATCTGGAAAATGTGTAAAATCCGAAGGTGTAGTAGAGGAAAGTATTGCTGACGTTGTGTTCCAGAATGCAAATGCACCATCTGATTGTTTTGGACAAGATTTGTTATCTGCATGTGCAAACCATATGCATAAATCTGGAGGAGACGATGAAGTTCAGAAGCAATCCACTTCCACTGATGATATGCATGGGCCAGAACATAATCAAAGTGGTTGTGACACAATGAAAGTTTCAAGTTTATCTGCACCAGGTGCAGATTCAGATTCATCCAGTGGCAGAAGGCAGCATACAGATGTGCCTGATGCTTTTTCTTCTAGTGCTGATGATGGTAGTGAGGAGCCCATTTATGAAGGAGAGGAATGCATGCTGGAATCAGGGACAAACAGATTCATCCAGTGGCAGAAGGCAACATACAGATGTGCCTGATGCTTTTTCTTCTAGTGCTGATGATGGTAGTGAGGAGCCCATTTATGAAGGAGAGGAATGCATGTTGGAATCAGGGACAACAATTTATGCAGACCGAGAGCCCATGTATGAAGGTGAGGTGGTTCTTGCAGAACAAGTGGGCAATAGTACTAGAGATGCCTATGATGCTAGTTCCAAGGATGAAATTACTCCAAGACAAGGTAAGAAGTGCTCTATATCAAATGAATTGGGACATTTTATTCCTAGTTTCTTTAGTACTTATATATATTTGTTCGTGATATTGCATTCTTTCCAAACACTTAGCTTACTGTCTACTCATTTTGCTTTAGGGGAACTGATTGAGAGTTTTTTGAAGAACAATGCCAGTCAGTTGACTGTATATGGGTATTTCAGTTTCTTGTTTTTCTGTAGAATTTCTTATATATATGTTTGGAATTGTTATTGTGCTTTTTTAGGTGTAAGGAGATTTTTCATTTTAGTATTTGTACATCTTGCAGCCTATTTTGCTTACTAGATGGTCTGAAAGAACGTGAACTTTGTGTCTTTTTTCGCAACAATCACTTCAACACCATGTTTAAGGTCAGTTACTATCTAGCATTTGTTACTGTTTCTGTAATTTAATGATTAATGTTGTGGTCATTGTGATGCCAACAATACTATTAGCTTAAGAGCAATTGAATCAAATAACTGAAGCATTATTGTCGTTTCCCAACTTTCCCTCAACACTACTTCGCAGGATATTACCTAATGTCATCTTTTTTGCAGTTTAATGATGAATTGTATATTTTGGCTACAGACCAAGGTTACATAAGTCAACCTGATTTAGTTTGGGAAAAGCTAAATGAGGTAAGATATTTTTCAATGATCATCTTTTTTATAGGGGCCTGCGCATAGCTTATGTCTTAAATCTTTGGTTTGACTATGATTGATCATAAATGAGATTGATTTGCCCCCTCCATCTCTTTTTGGAAAATAAATTGGCCCAAGAGTTGATAGGCTAAAATTCTGATGCTCCCTATTTTTCCATGAAATCTTTTCTGAGAATTATGATTCAATTTTGTACTTCTAAACTCTGCATCACTTGATAAATGAAATAAAAGCAATACCTTCAGTTGAGAAACCTTGTAAGAAGGTGACAATATTGTTTCATATGGGGTTATCATTCTGCAGGCTTGGAGCTAAGTTAGTTTTATTTTCAGGTCAATGGGAATACATTGTTTATGACTGGCCATTTTAAGGAATTCAATGTAGAGAGTCGTGCCAACAGCACATGGGATGAACAAAATGCAATGGCCAGTACTGCTGTGCGTAGATCTTCTTTTATACCAAATTTTCTGAAATTTGTCATTAATTGCTTTTTTGGAACTGATTCCACTTTATGTGCTTCAGGACTATCTTGCTAGCGTTGACAATGCAGCACATGTGAATTCAAGTTTCAAGTAATTATCCTGACTACTACTTTTGCATATGCATTGATTCTAAATCTGTAGTTTGTACATAGAGCTTGTCTAAGAAGCACCAACACATGTCGCTACTAGTGTCATCTTCTTCTTCTTTTTATTTTATTTTTTATTGTTATTTCTTAAATGTTTTGTTGGACATGTCCATTGAAGATAAGATAAGGGAAAGTGGTTTTAGATGGTATGGTTATGAGTCTGTATCCATACTACTTAAGAGGACATGGTAAACCTCTTGTGACAAGGGATGATACCTTTTTGTTTGTGTTATTGGATGCTTACCTGCTTTCCAGTGGTATTATGGATCAAATTGGTATCATTCTTTATTTTTAATTAATTTTCTTGTGGTTTTATTTGTCTATTGCACTACTTAAAAACCTATTTTGTGGAAACTTTACTTAGCTTGAAAACCTGGGATGAACAGAATGAAGTTTTTTACATTTTCTTCTCTGTCATAAGAGGCTCATTACCTGTTTAATATTGGAATAGGATACTGAGTGTTGATGTCAATTGGAGTTTGAACTTCTAGTCCTCGAATCTATAAATATTCTTGTTCATTGGATACCTCCCCTGTTCACAACGTTGTTAGTCGTAGTTATTTCTACATTTTTTGGATTGTTTCTACATATTGATCTTATCTGGAAGTGATTTGTTCTTTTGTTTCTTTTTCTGTGACAGTTCTGACCTGCAATTGGCAATAGCTCTTCAACAACAAGAGTTTGAACAACAGCCGCAACAGCAGCCGCAGCAACTGCCACAGCCACAGCCACCGAAGCGTATTCCGCAGCAATCAAGTGTTAGTGGCAGTTCAGGGCTGGTTGTAGGACCCCAGGTCAGATGTGAATTTTGTACTTGTTTAATTTTGTGCATTTGAGTAGTTTGAAAAAAAAAAAAA